GTTAACGTTAAATACAAGTACTCCGCAGCGACTCTAGGGGGAGCTGTTTGACAAAACCGGAAAACTGCATAGTATGACTTTAATGACACGATGGCTTTTTCAAGCACCACCATGTAATGGGTACTACTAATACACACCTTCATCAGTCTTTATTTGTAAATAGAACATGATATAGATAAGAATTTTCAAAGCAAAGATACTTTAAATCCAAGGGTGATCAAAGCAAAGATGCTTCAGAACAAAAGGTTTTTCCAATACTGCTCATTGAGGTGTGCGTGCCTCATGTCCCCTAACTAGCCTGCCTAATTTGACTGCAGCCTTGCACTCTGCCAGGAGAGGTCACTGTAACTGAAGCTTCGAGTAATGAACCCATTTTCGAACAATTGTTACCTGCATCAGGGGGGGAAAAATGCCACAATTGTCTCATGTCTCTCTGTGGGAAAACTTAAAGCCAATACTAGTCAGACAAGAATAGCCCAATGGCTTTTTCAACCCTCAAGACAAACTTTTTACCTCCACTACTACCATGCCTCTATAAATAGTTCCTCATGTAGTTCCTTATGTGCAACACAAGGCACCACCATGAAGTCAGACTTGTCTTGTTTTATTTTGGCGTTAGTTTTAACTCTTGTATCCTCTCTATGGGTTTTCTTGCAGCTAATCCAGGTCTGTCAGTGGATACAGATGGTCTGGCTGAAGCTCAAAGTGGAGCTGCACCCACAGTGGAAGGTAGGATAAATACTTGTCATTTGGTTTTATGAGCTGCTATCAATGTGTACAGTCGTTTTATATTTCTGTTTATGTAGATTAAACAAATGTGTATATTAATTGGAAGGCATATTTTTGAGCCAGGCTAGTTGGTTTCCTCTTCTGCCAGTCTTTATGCTAAGCTAAGCTAACTACCGCCCATCTCCAGCTCCGTACTTAGGCACCAAACATAGTTCATACAAGTCTGCAAATGCAAGCGCCTCGAGCTACGCAAAATTTATTTCATGCGTTGTTCTGCATTCTGTGCTATTCTGTGGCTGACTTCCTGCCAGTGCGATCAGCTTTCTGCTGCTTGATGCAACTGGGCCAGGAATTGTCTTTTGCCTTTCCATTCTTACAAGGACCATGTTTGGGGTCTTACAGAGACTGCCCACAACTAAACAATGTGCGCAGTTCTGTGACATATGTATTCCTTTGGATTTTCTGGAAATTTAGGTTTCTGTAGGTGTCAGTCTATATTGCAACTATTAAGCCATGGTAGCTGCTGCTCAGAGGTGAAAGGGTCAATGGGCTTGGGACAACGTCATCATTGTACACGAACACAGATGCTTTTCATCTGTCTTTAACCTGAACTGTAACAGTCGTATCAGGCTGTATATCAGCGTTATGGTGTAATTGTCAAACACCTCATTAATTGCACTTTGTTTAAGAGGCGTGTCCATTTTTGCACATGTATCTTATGGTTAAATATGATGTGACGGTAATGAAGGGCAGATTGTATGCCCTACTGTTGCCAACGTAAATCATACGTGTCTGTGAGCTGTTAGACATGTTTATAGTGTCTGCTACAGTTTAGTTTCTGCTGCTAATCTAAATTAATGATGTTATTCCATTCACTATAAAAATTGTTAACGTTATTTTGTCATTAAAATCCAAATCTCTTGTGCTACCAGTGTAAACACTCCCGCTCTGAGCTAAGCTAATAGCAGCTACATTTTTGCAGCAGTTACTTTACTGTCCAACAGGAAATTGTAAATACACAGAAAATTTTTTTTCCATAAAATATGATGTTTTCAAATTCATTGACATAGTTGGTGGTGTGTGACCTGCCGTAAAGCGTTTTGCACTTGTTCTCACACAGACACAAAAGTTACATAATGCAAGAATTAGGTATACAGGGGCACAATTCACCCTATTAAAACTCTTTAGCATAAAAATGTATCTTAAATTGTTATTTTAAGGTAGAAAAGTTACATAATGTTGCTTTCATCTATCACAATAGTGTGGCAGCATATTGTGGCATTTGTTAACAATCACTGCTGTCATATCACATTGTAATCATTAGGTTAATTAGTAGCATTAAGAGTAGGCACCATTGCTATGTACGTCAAAGTCCAATAATCAGTCAGGCAAGTTTTCCAAACTTAACTTTCTATAGCCAGTCCTCTTCCAGAAGTCAGTGTTATTATTATTATTATTGTTATTATATATAAAAACCAGGCCTCTCAGCTGCATTAAATAATCAATAATGATTGAAACAGGTTTGTTAATGATCGTGCCTTCTGGATTTTAAGCCCCTTAACTCTGTTATACAGCATGGTGGGTGTTCAGGGTAGCCTGCTGGCCTGTGAGCATCAATCATGTTATAATTTTAGGGGAAGCTGCAGTAGGGTCTGTTTAATACCAGGGTGGGGAAATGGAATGGTATAACATGAGGACTGTTTGCATTGACTGTCAGTTCTCCGGGGACCAAAGAGAGCACTGCGCAGGAATAGTTTTCATGAACATTTTAGAAGACGTTCAATGCAATTATTATTTCCTTATTATCTATTATCTATCGATCTCAAATCATGGCAAATTCTGGGTTGACAAATTACCATGGCTTCACTGTATCAAAATATCACTCGCTGTATCTCTTTGACAGCTGTATAATCATTACCCTGTCCCAGCTGTAAAACTGAAGCATAACATCAGTAGATCAACACTTGGCAGCTGAACAGAGCAATTTCTAAGGCACGCAGATGTCAACTTCACCACTTTCACCTGTGTTAGCTGCGGGTTTAATTTTCCTGCAAAAGAGCTCATCCATGCAACCCTTATATCTCAGATTTCACAGCCTCTCATCAGCACATGATTGCACCATAACTCAGCAGCAGTTAGCAGGCTAGATTATTAGGAGTTCGGTCTAGACCTGCTCTATTTTAAAAGTGTCCTGAGATAACTTCTGTTATGAATTGGCGCTATACAAATAAAATTGAATTGAATTGAATTGAATTATTTGGACTACTTTTTTTTTTTTTTTTGCCAGATATGATGTTGTTGACTTAGAATTGGCTTTTGCCCAGGAATGACCATGTCTGAATCTCCCAGTGGATTATTGAAAGTGGCCCAGCATGCATGCAGGCATGGTGTATCTATTACCTTTTATGACAGAATGATGATAAGTGAATGTTGATTTACAATTATACAGTCACAATTGGACAATTAACGTCTATTTCTGTAGTCATAATAAAATTATTAAGTTATTAGCTGTGACCTGGAAAGATTGCACAAAATAAGTTAATCTTACGAGGCAGTTTGATCACAAAATCAAAAGATCCATTTTGCCAGGCTTTAATCTATGCAGTTGTGGACCAGCCAAAATGTTACCAGACTAATCAGCATCCTACGAGGAAGTACTGGCACTTGCCACTTTTACAACACGATAGGTTGAAAACAAAGCTGCAGGTTATTAATTCAATTTCTAATAAATTATCATTTATTTGGAAGAGAAAACATAGGTAGGCAATAAAAGGATCACCCCAGTTTACAGACCCAATTCCTGCTTCAACTTTGACGCACTTAGCCCACATAATTGTTCTGTAGAATGAGTTTAGATCATAAACCAAACTAGTATTTGTTTTCAACCTATCTGATCGAACTCAAGTTCAATTCAATTCCATTAAATTTTATTTGTATAGCGCCAAATCATAACAGAAGTCGACTGCTGTGTTCCCAGATATTTGCTATTAACACAGTGAGGTCAATGAGGTAATCAAAACCAATAGAAACAATAGCCATGCCATGAAGATAAGAACAAAGTAGTGATTCAGTACTCATGGCCAGTAGATCGATATGAGCCAAAGCATTGGAAAGATCAGTAGGTTCTGCTATAAGGGCAAAAAACGCAAACAAAACCTTTCAACCACCATTTTGGTAAACTTGCTGCTCTCGCTCTCTGACTCTTAAAAGGAAGTTGTTCCTTGCCCCCATCGCCAAGTGCTTGCTCATGGTGGTACTGTTGGGTCTCTGTAAATAATGTTATAAGGAGTTCGGTCTAGACCTGCTCTATTTGAAATAGTGTCCTGTGATAACTTCTGTTATGAATTGGCGCTATACAAACAAAATTGAATTGAAAAATGTAATGTATTTACTGTTAAAGAACACATATTATGCACCTTTTCAGGTTCATAATTGTATTTTGTGGCTGTACTACAATAGGTTTAGATGTTTTAAACTTTCAAAAAACACATTCTTTTTCTCATACTGCCTATAGCTGAGCACCTCTTTTCAGCCTCTGTCTGAATCGATCGGTTTTAGCTCCTGTCTCTTTAAGGCCCCCCTCCTGAAAAGCCCAGTCTGCTCTGATTGGTTGGCATTATGACACGGTTCAAGCGGATGATGCTCCGGCCCCTCCCACTTCTGCCTCAGCGTTGCCTTTGGCAGCTTCATTTCTACCGTCAATATTAATTCAATAACTGCTTCTAAACCAAAAACTTCACCACCAGACATATTAGAGCAGGAGTCTGACCTGAAATCACGGAGAAATGAACAACATCAACAATCAGGATTACAGCTTTCTGTGACGTTTTCCTCAGGTAAATACTGATATATATATATATATATATATATAAAAAAAACCTGTGACACATAATGTTAGTGTGTACTGTATCCATATTTCATAGTCTGATATTTTAACCTGAAAGTATTACTAAAGTTAACCTTCAGATATTTGTAAAAGCTGCAATTATGTTTGAACCCCATTAAAAATACTGTATATATACTGAATATTCTATAATTTATATTATGATGTCATTTATCTTCCAACATAATAATGTTTGAATGTGAGACAGTAATGTATTGTGTTGCTTACAGACATTAATACAGATTTAATATTTTCATATTGATAGATGTTACACGAACCAGGTTTTCAACTCTTGAACATCCAGGAAATCTTTATAAAACCTCTGTGAAATAATATGTTATTTATATAAAACCACACTTATTACTGAATTTAAAAATGGCCAAAACTCTTCTAAAAAGTAAAACACTTTATTTATGTTTCATTCATATTCCAGTTACACATGTTGTAAGTAACAAAGCTATAACTTTTATGTAAACTGTGCAGATCATGTCCTCCATCAAGGTATCTTAGGTTTCTAGTATACTGAAGTGTGAGCTGGTAATGGAGCTCTGCAGTCAGTGTTCATCTTTATCAGTCTTCCTTTGGATACCCAGACTGTCCTGATGCTGCAGCTGTCTCTGTCCTCTGATGGGTCCAGGGACACCTGAGCTTCCTCAGGTCACCTGTAAAACAAGGCAGAGTCAGTGTTACTTGTAAGGCAGCATATAATATATAGTATAATATAATAAGTAACCGCTCATTGTAGCTCAAAGTAGTGCTAAGTTATAAACTAAAATAATAAAAGCAGTGTCTCAGGTGGGTCCCTTGTTGCAGCTAACTGTAGTGATGTGTTGTTGAAACAGTCTGAGGTTACCAACACAATGTCTAGCTGATGGCAGCAGATACACACACACAGGACATGTACTGACTGTAACTGATGTTGTGACAAGTTCCCGGTGCAAGAACAGACATTTAGCAGTGAGCCTCAGTGTTGTTTATTATACAATAGGAGATGATATGAGTATGAGATGTTACACTGGACCTGCCCTTATATCTTCAGTAATACCAGTACCGCAGTAACACTAAATATATGGATCAGAAAACTTCTATTAGTCGCGGTTCATCCGGTGCACGTAGATCAAGTTAATTTACATTCAGCACACACACACACACACACACACACACACACACACACACACACACACCCTGAAACGAAGCAGAAGAATGGCTTCAGAGAAACAACAAAGCTAACGCTAGCTGAGATAACGTTAGCACGTCAGTATAAAGTTACACAAGAAGCATCATGAACAATAATCACCATAACTATTCTGTTAGCTTCTAAAGAGGCTTGATCACAGTCTGACTATTTCTCTCTCACGGTAGCTCTATCTTTACCTCCGGTACATTTACATACAGCAGCACAGACAGACACAGACACACACACACACACACACACACACACACACACACACACACACACACACACACACACACCTGAGCGGAGCTGGAAGTTTGCATCTGAAGACTTTGCCCAGACATTAGACATAAGACATCAGGCTGCAGGCTCACTCTCTTGTTCTCCGATAGCTTGCTCTTTTATAGTAACAATGGCGGAGCTCCGCTAGTCAACACAGGAAGTAAACTGCGGTGGGTGGCAACATGGAGCCGAAATGACGTCAAAAAGTCTGAACATCTGAAACAGAGTGATTTGTCTCCTGTATTCTGACTGAGGCAGCCCACAAAAACATGACTGAGTCATTTTTTTTTTCACACTTTGCCTGCTGATAGGCCCTCCAGATTCCCAAATGTACATTAACAGTTTAAAGTATATGTAAATATTAGTGCTGTCAAACGATTAAAATATTTAATCGCGATTAATCGCATTAATGTCATAATGAACTCGCATTAATTAATCGCACATTTTTATCTATTCTAAATGTCCCTTGATTTCTTTTTGTCCCATTATTTTTTCTCATTTTAATGCTCTTATCAACATGGAAAAGTGGATCGGCTTGCTTTGTGCAAATGTTGTTTTTATTGAAAACGACATTGGCATATACTGTAGTGCTCACACAATGTAACACTGTCCATCAATAAAAGAGTGAAAAAAATACTTTGTCACACAAACAGCCCCTTCAACAGCCCTTTCTAAGGGATCAAAACAGGGTGATACAAAATAAAATTACAAAGTGCACATGTAAGGTAAACTAGCCTATAGTGCAGTTAAACCATGGCTTAATACTTTTCTCAAGTTTGCTTTGAACATAGCAGTCAGGCTACTGCTCTTTATTCACCAGAGGCTCAACCCAGCCTCTTATTTCAGAAAGAATGAACAGTAACGGTTACCAATAAAAGGTAAGCCTACTACTTCTTTGCTTTGAGCCAGTTACTCAAACAGACAAGCCTGTTGACATTTTCAGACAACAAGGAATCCATCCATTTCGGCGTCTCGCGCTCGCCATCCACTCAAAACCTAACGTCTACTACTCTTAAACAAGTGTGTGCGGCGTGCCTGTTGTTTTGTTTCCGGTCTAGCTAGATCCGGTGTGGTGTTGTAGTTTTTCTAACGATACTAGTTGTTGCAACAGCATGTGAAACAAACTACAAAGTGTGCTAGGCGTTAATCTTGCGGTAAAAAAAATAATGCCGTTAAAATGGGTTAACGTTAACGCCATTAATAACGCGTTAAACTGACAGCACTAGTAAATATACTAATGTACATAAATACAAAACAATTATAATTGTCTTATCATATTTCCTGTCAACCTGCAAAAAGACGGCTGTCGTCATCATCAGTGGTCTAAATGGCAAGTCAGTATGATGCTTTGTGTTTAATATCTATTCTCTCCATCATTGGCTGTTGTGCTTGGTATGGGGTCAGTCAACCATGGTCCATCCCTCTGCTTTCAAGTGCATCCCCCCAGCTTATTCTGCTGTTAAGATTATAACGATTTATTTTTCATCCCACCGATTAGAATCTTCACATATTTGCATCATGATTTAACTGTCTTGCGATATATTGTTACATTCTTATATAGTATATTCTGTCTATGAGCCATATGGACACTGGGTTTTGGTAGCCTTAACTACCACATATATACAAATTCTTCATCATCAATCATTCTTCCTAAACAGTGCTTCAATGTCCACTCCATGCGGAAGATCAATTTAGTCTGTGCCTGACAGCTAAGCTATACAGGGCTCCAGAATGTGACATTATGTAACATCATGCTGCTTACTCTGCCATTCTTGCCATGGTGCAACTTCTCTGTCAAGTCAATTTTATAAAATATTTTTAAGGACATTTCTATCCACCCAGCATACGACACACTTTATCCATAGACACCCCTGAATTCATCTTTCCTTTCCTGCCCTGCCATCACACAGTCATTTACTCATTCAGAGAGTTGCAGTACATCCTGAAATGAAGGATGAAGACGTTATAATTAAAGAGCTACGTGGTGACATCACTCATCTGCAGCCTGCTCTGTAGAGAGCTCTGCTGTGGCCAGAATAGGAAGCTGGGCACACATCTATGTTTTTCCATCGCATAAACCAGTCCAGAGCCTGGCTGCTGCTCCAAAAGCAGATGGTACAGAGAGCCAGGGGACAGAGTGTGTGTGTGTGTGTGTGTTTTTATCAATGTCTCCGCACCCCAACCATTCCTTTTTATTTCCTTATACAGTAATCTGCATAACTAACAGGGATCCTAGCAGAGAGTCAAGAGTACTGTAAAAATCTCCAAATATTTCTGGGTCAGCTCTGCTGTGCTGAGGTCCTATCTAAACACTTTGATCAGCACTGTAAATCCGACTGACTGAGACCATTGCATTACATTAGTTTTGGTTGATCCCTGTATGTCACTCTAAAAACATTTAACAATGCGAACTATGATATTTAGTTCAGTTAATTGCAACTGTTTTAAGTTTTTGCGGTGTCTAAGTCTCACATTGAAAAATCAGGTCTCAGGAAGAGTAATGAGGCGTTCGCTTTGTCTTGTAATCGCGACTTGCAGCTCGAGAGTGACGTCACATTCGTGTTGGAAAACGAATAACCACAGGTTTTTGCATTCTGTTTGGCACACAACACGACGAGTCGGAGAAAAGATGGACGCCTCCAGGAAGGTCGCTTTAGTATAGTGATTATCTCGTTTACGGTGCACCCACCGCGGATTTCACATGTTCATTACATATTCAGAGGTGGGTAGTAACGAGTTACATTTACTCCGTTACATTTACTTGAGTAAGTTTTTGAAAAAAATATACTTCTAGGAGTAGTTTTAAATCACTATATTTTTACTTTTACTTGAGTAGATTTGTGAAGAAGAAACTGTACTCTTACTGCGCTACATTAGGCTACAATGAGCTCGTTACTTTGGTATTCTACGCATCATTGTTTTTATCCCCCCCGCTTACGCCTCATTTTAATGTTTTATTTTGACAGAGAGAGAGACTTCCGCTCTACCACGTGACTGTGTTTCACCAATCAAACGTAGTTGTGCAGTCTCGTCACGTGACCATACTCAATCTCAGCGGCGGGACGGGTTAGCGTCACAGTCGTAGCAGAGAATGTCTAATAAGGAGAGTTCCACTCTCGGTATACTTCCGGGTTCTGAACTGTTGCAGTTCCCCTCTGGTTCCATATGAGGGCGCTCACAGGATGAGTGCAGAATGAATGGAGCTCTATCGAGCTATACCCTCAAAATCCACTTTTCTCAGGATATAATTTTTTGTCTAGTAATTTGAATGTTGCATTCAAAAGGGGATGCAAAGAAATTACACATTGCTGGGTGTTTTTTTTTAGAGTCACTTATTTGCTTTAAAAAGTCTTTTAAAATGTCAATGACCTCACACACATCATATGCCGAGAGATACTGCTTTACGGCAAGCCTCGAGTCACTTTGTGCTTCGATGCCATCACGATGCCATCAAGCGGGATCTCTGGTCGTAATCAGTCCTTCACTGACCAATCAGCGTTCATTAGCAGAATGCTAGCGTGTTATGGGCAACAACAACTCAAGAAATCGAAAGGACATAAGTACTCGTTCATTCAACTTTCAGCCTATAACCCATGTTGAACTTGCAAAAACTACAATCAAATCTGAGATTTCTCAACGACAATCAGGTGAAAGAGACAAATTTAGCCGTCTAGCTCCATCTGCTCCCATTCATTCTGCAATCATGGGCAATCGCCCCCAGTGGAACTCAGGTAGAATTGCAACCAAAATTCGGTACAATGGGACTTAATAGAGAGTGGCCAGGCTCTCCGTAGACGGGCTCTGGTCGTAGCAAACAAAAATGTCAGAATCAACCGTCGGCAATGCAGACACAGACGAGGAGGAACACCCCTGGCCTCATATTGAAAGCATGTTTACCTTAGTAAAAGTGCGAAACAGCAGCTACATTATGTGGTGTCTTGTCACACACACACACACACACACACACACACACACACACACACACACACACACACACACACACAGTTTATGAGAGATTATGGGCTGCCTTGTTCTAGTTCTGCCTGCAGAGCCTGGTAAAAAAGTATAAAGGTTTGGAAATTTGTGTTACTTGTGCTTATTTATTTTTTATTTATTATTATTTTATTGATTTTATTTTTTAAGTGCTTGAATTTACCTGGATTATTTTTAGTAGTCATATTATTCTGAAGTAACAGTACTTTAACTTGAGTACAATTTTTGGCTACTCTACCCACCTCTGTACATATTACACAATCATATTTCACAGTTTGATATCTGAATATTCCGTTTTGATTAACGTTAACGTTAGGCTACTGCTCTGCTCTCTGCTCAAGACTCGGCATTGTTGTCATAGCAACATGGAGCGTCTCTAGCCAATTTCAGCTGCACAAGCTACAAAATAACTAATTAGGCGGTATTTAACACATAATAAGACTGTGGCGACATGCCTATAGGTAACAGTATACAGTGCTATGTGTAGGACTTCTTCATTTGGTTACAACAAAGACAAAAGTGCTTAAAATAGTAGAAAACCACAATGTTTACTACGTGTGATGCTCGGAGTAGCCATCTTGGTAACTGAAGTCGGGGTCCTCTGAGTTCAGACGACTTGACGAGTCATATATACGACCTTGGGGGCGTTCTATTTGCAACTTCAGGTTCCTAAATCAGGAAACCGACTCGCAGATCAAGTAGGGTGGACAAATAGAACGCACCATAACCATTCCCGTCGCACTGACATGCTACTGTCAAGATTCTTCAGCGAAACAATCAGTCTCAACCTCAGTCTAAATTTAAAAAAAAACAACCTCATTGCCAAAGAGAGAATAACAAGAGCCCTGTTTGTGTCTGACTCCAAGGTCTGTTTGAAGCAGAATTGTTTGAATCAACAGTTGGTGAGCAGCCAGCAACTTTTGAAAGAGCAAACAGTGCTGGAGTCATTTTTCAACTGGATTATGAATGGCTCACTGCCCGCTGTCGAGTGGCCCGCTAATGTCTTTTGCTTTTGTCCTTGTTAACCTTTGTTGTTTCTCTCTCTCTCAGTCCTTCTCCTTCTCTTTCCATTACTAAAGGCCATTTACCCAGCTTTATTTCATCTACTGTCAGCCACACTCACATCCTGCCCTCTTCTCACTGCAGAACCAATGCATGTGCTCTCCAATCAGTTCTTGGAGGG